ATCACACTGGCTGCCATCTCCAACACAGTAGGAGAAGGCAGAATGGGTCAGTTTCTAGAAATTTCCACCTTAAAAAGTCAGGAATGTAGCCAGGCACTGGTGGCTCATGTCTGTAACCCTAGCTACTCTTGAGGCTGAGATCTGAGGATTGAGATTCAAAGTCGGCCCTGGCAGGAAAGTCCATGAGACTCTTATCTCTAATAAACCACCAGGAAATAGGAGGTGGTGTTGTGGTTCAAGTGGTAGAGAGCTAGCCTTGAGCAAAAGAGCTCAAGGACAGTGTCCAGGCCCTAAGTTCGAGCCCTATGATCAACCAAAAACAAAAAAGGCAGGAATGTGGGACCTAAAGAGACAGATGAAATCAGTTCCATAAAGAGATCTGTCAACCTTCAGAGACTTGTAACAATGTTATTTCCTAGAGGGGTTGATAAAAGAATTTATAATATTAAAAGTATGTAACTATATGGAATCCAGTGTGAACTCTCTGATTGACGCAGCATTAAATCACAGAATTTCACTCAGTTTCTCCAGTTAGAATGCCTCATAATATGATGTGCAAATAAGCCAATACTACTAGGTAACGGGTAACCTATCTATAACCCTAGCTATTCAGGAGGCTGAGAGCTGAGGATTAAAATTCGGAGCCAGCTGAGGTGGAAAAGTCCCTGAGACTCGCATCTCCAATTAACCAGTAATTAAAGCAGAAATGGAGATGTATAGCTCAAATGGTAGAGTGTCAGCTTTGAGTAACAAAGCCTAGAGCTTAAGGGCCCAAGTTCAAACTCTAGTATTAGCACAAAACAAAAACAACAAAACAATCAAAATAAATAAATAAGCCAATCTTGGTTCCTATTGGTTGGTTTAGTGAGGAGGCCAGCTCTCCATCACCTGTCTTTGCAATGCTGTGCCCTCTCCATAAGTCATCTTTTCTTTTGACTTCTTGTTCAATGAATTCCCATCCTCCCTCCCTCCCTTTCTCCCTCCTTCATTCCTGGCTCTGCTTTAATGTTAGTTGGTTTGCCCTTGGTCTGTCTGCCCTACATCTCTGTAGCCATAAATCCACTATCTTCTCCATCTGACCATTTACCTAGGTTTCTGTTGACTTTGTCTTGCCAATCAGCCTATAAGTCTCAGAAAGGTAGAGACTGATTTTATCTTGTTCACTGTTGCAGGGCCCAAGCTTGTCCTGGTGCTCAATCAAAGGAGTATTCAACAAATATTTGCAACAGAGGGATTGACCTGGTTTTGGGGGAGGGCGGTGCCGATTGGGCCTGTGATGTGCTTGCCTAGAGTGTATATGGCCCTGAGTTTCATCCCCACCATTAAAAGAAAAAAAAGGACGAAGGAAGGAAGGAAGGAAGGAAGAAGGAAAGAAAGAAAGAAAGAAGAAAGAGAAAGAAAGAAGGAAAGAAAGAAAAGAAGAAAGAAAGAAAAAGAAGAGCCAAGTGAGACATGAATATAGGCATCTCTTTGGTTCCGAAACATATTGGGGAAACTGAGGCAGTTTGGCAGATTATATACACATGCAGAATCAAGAGTTTCTGACATACCAGATGTGAAACTTTTTCACATTGCTCAATTCTTTTTTTTTGGTGGGTATTAGGGTTTGAACTCAGGGCTTTACTCTAAAGTTAAGCTACCATACACATAGCTCAGCCTTTTGACTTTTAATTTTTTTCATACTTTTAATTTTTTCATGTTTGTTTTGCTGGCCTCAGGTAGCGGTCATCCTACCTCTTGATCAACTGCCTCCTGAGCAGTTTTGATTACAGTCATGCACTGCTATACTAGATCTCCTCAGCCATTTCTAAAACAATTTAATTCCTCTCTAGCCTTGCTTGATTTGTTCTTGTCACCACTGTAGAGGTTAAGACTGTTTTAGAGGATTCTTTTTATAACAAATGGGATCTCAGCATAGAGAAAAATGTATCTAGCTCTCAGGCAGAGGAGAAACATGTACTTGTGGACCTTGAATTTTTAAATGAGCCAGCACATCTCTGCTAATTCTCTTCCCTTGCTGTATCCCGTCTGGTTCATATTCAGCAAAAGAGAAAGCCAGCCTGTGTCACCTGTGATTTATGTCCTGCTGTTTGCTCTCTTCCCCTAGAACATTAAACACCCTGAGCAGAGGGAAGAAGAGGTAATCTCAGGATGCCTGGCTGCCAGACGGGGTGTCTGGGTGTCTGGGAGGCGTGCAGGGGAGGGGTAGGGGGCTGCCAGGAGCACTCCACTCTGTTGGGAAATGGGAGGAGATTGAAAACTGTTTTTTGTTTTTTTTAAAGACCCATGGGGCTTCCACATAAAAGGAACAAGGGAATCTCTGTTTGTTTTGACTTCTGTAAAAACAATTAGCCTCTTAACAAAAAAAAGAAAAAAGGGGGGGTGTTGATGTACTCACTGCCTGCTTTGGGCAATTCTCTTCTCTCTGGGCCTCAGTTTCCCTGGCTGTGGAAGAAGGAACTGAATGGTATGAATACCCTTTCTCTTCCCAGCCTCAAGGATCTGGAGAGAATTAGCCTTTCATAGAGAGAGGAAGAGTATTGTAGCAGTTGCCTTCAGAAGGAAGGCTTCAGGCCCTAGCTCCACTTTCACTGGCTGTGTGGCCTTTAGGCACATTCCTTACCTCTCTGAGCTTTATCTGCAGGACTACATGAACACAGCCAGGACTTTGCTCAAGAGGTTTCTGGGTTTCTGGGAAATCTACCACCAAGTCTTTGCAGAGGTATTGGCACTGAGCCAGGGGTTTAAGAGTTAGCTATTATTGGGGCTGTTGTTCCCCCAGATAGTCTCTAGTCTTGGACTTGGGGTGTGTGTGTGTGTGTGTGTGTGTGTGTGTGTGTGTGTGTGTGTGTGTGTGTGTGTGTGTGTGTGTGTGTGTGTGTGTGTGTGTGTGTGTGTGTGTGTGTGTGTGTGTGTGTGTGTGTGTGTGTGTGTGTGTGTGTGTGTGTATGTCCCTCAACCTGAATTCCTTGCATGAAGCCTACTCAGAGGGGGCAGGGAAACCTAGTGAGCACTTGGAAGTTCTGGGCTAGGGGGGTGAGGGGAGGAGCTATTTTCAGTGGGTTCTGGTTCTATTTGTAGCTGGTAAGTTGGCCCAGGCGGCAGGGAAGCTCTGGACAGAGCATGCTGGATTCACAGTGGGGTGTGTCATCTTACACTGTGGCCGGGGAAGGAAAGGAGAGGTAGGAGACACGGAGGACAAATGGGGAGGAGGAGTATGGAAGCCACAGAGGACACATTAGGAGGAGGAGGAGGCTGGAAGCCATTCCATATGAATCCCTCACGGCCCCCCAAACCCCCACAAACGTTTTAACCACATCTTGACCCTTTCATTTCCTCTACCTTTCTTGGGGAGGAGTTAGAGAGGACACTGACCTTTTAGAAGCAGAATTTATTCATAACTAGAGGTTATCCATCAATCCTGCTAACTCAGTGTCCCCGCCCCAACACCATGGATTTGGTTATTCTGTGCTCAGGCTCAAGTGAGGTTTGTGTCCCTGGTGGAAATGCAGAGTATTTGCTAAAACCTGTGGTGGTTAAACACTTAAGTCCTTTTTCAAAGAATAGAGAAAGCATTCATATTCCTCCCCCACCCCCTGCACGATCCTCCCCCCTCCCTGGTCTCCCTGGCTAAGCAAGATGTTTTAACCTTGGTGAGTCTCCGTTTCCTCATTGGTGGAAAGGAATAGAGGTCTATCTGGAGCTCTCAAATCCTTCTAGAACCATCCGATGCTTCTCTGATGTAATCATCAAGCAGGCTTGGTGGAACCTCTCATCAGAAGGTGGTATGCAGAATCGGGAGGCTCCAGACACCGGATGACATCTTAGCCCTAGCATTCTCCTGATGGGAAAACTGAGGTCTTGCAGGGTGAGGTCATCTCGGGCAGTGAATCACTGGCTCGGCTGTGTCAGGAACCCACGCCTCCTACCTCTCCCCAGGGTAGAGGCCTTCTGGGGCACTGGGCTGCCAGGTACCTCTCCCTGTGAGGACAATGGGAGTCATATCTACTAAGTGGCACTGTCCATGTGTGAACTCATTTAACTCCCACAGTCCTTCATTTTCCAAATGAAAGCCACCCACAGAGGAAGGGATGGTGGCCTAAAATCTGCGTGATTAACAGCTCAATTCCTATTTCGATTTTTCCCCAAGTCTACTCATTTGAGAACTTGTCTTATGAATTTTTAAAAAATATAACCTGTATGACTATTATTAGTATTATTTGTGTGTGCAGGTATTGGAATTGAACTCAGGGGCTGGGCACTGTCCCATAGCTTTTTGGCATTCTACTTCCTGAGCCATATCCCCACTTTCAACTATTTGGTGGTGAAGCATAGGTAAGAGTTTCACGGACTTCTACCTGGGGCTGGCTTTCAACCTTGATTCTCATATCTCACCTCCTGAATAGCTAGGATTGTAGCTTGAGCCACCAGCGGCACTTGGCTTCATAATCTGCTTTTTGTTCTTTTTCTTTTGGTTGTGGGCTTGAACACAGGACCTTGGCACTGTCCCTGAGATTTTGTGCTTGAGGTTAATGCCCTACCACTTTGAGCTACAATGCTACTTCTGGTTTTCTGGTGGTTAATTGGAGATAAGAGGCTCAGTGGATTTTCCTGCTCAGGCTGGCTTTGAAACTTAATCCTCAGATCTCAGCCTCCTGAGTAGCTAGGATTAAAGGTGTGAACCACCAGCACTGGGCCATAATCTGCTTTATACTACTATTTACTTAAATTTTCCTTATTTAAAAATATTTTATTAACATATTTTAGTTATGTGAGTGGTGGGGTTTGTTGTGACATTTCCATATGTCCCTACAATGTACCTTGAAACCACCCCCTCTATTTCTTTTCTTTTTTTTTTTAAGTTTATTTACAAGTTTCTTCATAGTTTATGTCTACACAGCCATCAAACATCACAAAACTTTGGCCATCGTTACTGCTGTGCATTGCTAGCACGTGACCATCCACGTGCGGTAATGAGAAAGGTCCATTGTCCTCTTCCACAGTTCCACTTTATGAATCAAGGATTTTATCCAACCTCACACTTGGAGAGAGAGAGAAAAGAATTTCCCCAAAGCTTTCACAAAGAAAGTTAATTACATCTGCTTCATCGCCTTTCCCTTTTAGAACTCATCTTTCCAAGTCTCTTTCGACAATTCCAATAGGTCTAATTGTTCTATTTTAATACACGCATATAAAGTGCTTTGATCATATTCACTTTATTCATCCTCTGTTTGCCTTCCTCTGTTCCCACTGGTAGCTGATGCAGTATGTTATTTTACTGTGACGTATGTTTTTAGAGTAGATTTATTATTTCCTTTCTTTCTTTCTTTTTCTTTTTTTTTTGGTCGGTCACGAGGTTTGAACTCTGGGCCTGGGGGCTATCCCTCAGTTCTTCAGCTCAAGGCTAGAGCTCTACCACTTAAGCCACAGCGCCACTTCCGGTTTTCTGGTGGTTTATTGGAGATAAGAGTTTCACGGACTTTCCTGCACCGGCTGGCTTTGAACCATGATTCTAAGATCTCAGCCTCCTGTGTAGCTAGGATTACAGTTGTGAGTCACCGGCGCCCAGACTTCTTTTTCTCTTTTCCTGTTTTAGGTCTGATTCCAGGACTCAAACTCTGTATCTGATGCTTTTGCTCATTGGCTGGTGCTCTAGCAACTTAATCATGTCTCTAAGCCCTGATTAATATTATTATTGTTGTTATTCTTATTTGCAGAGCTGAGGACCAAATTCAGGGCCTTGTACTTGAGCTAAATCCCCAATCTTCTGTTTTTGTTTTTGTTGGTCATGGGGCTTGAACTCTGGGCCTGGGCGTTGGCCCTCAGCTCTTCAGCTCAAGGCTAGTACTCTACCACTTGAGCCACTTCAGGTTTCCCAATCTTCTGATTTATTATTTTAAATAAATTTATCCTTGTTTTAAGCAAAGGTATCTATGATAGTGAGTTTGATCTATTAAATTGCATTCTAAATATATAGAAAATATAATTATGTAAATTTAAAAATCCTTAGTTGGTTGCTGGTGGCTCATGCCTATTGTTTTAACTATTCAGGAGGCTGAGATCTGAGGATCTCAGTTTGAAGCCAGCACAGGGAAGAAGGTTCATAAGACTCTTATCTCTCCAGTGAACCAGCAAGATGTTGGAAGTGGAGCTATGGGTTAAGTGGTAGAGTGCTAGCCCTGAGTGAAAAAGTTAAAGGGAAGAGTGTGAGGTTGTGAGCTCAAGCCCCAGTACTGGCATCCTCACTCAGTCTCACACACACACTTACACTCACACACACTCACACACACACATACAAATATACATATATATATTTTTTTTTTTTTTTTGGTCGGTCGTGGGGCTTGAACTCTGGGCCTGGGCGCTGTCCCTCAGCTCTTCAGCTCAAGGCGAGTGCTCTACCACTTGAGCTACAGCGCCACTTCCGGTTTTGTGGTGGTTTATTGGAGATAGGAGTCTCACGGTCTCTCCTGCCCGGGCTGGCTTTGAACCGCGATCCTCAGATCTCAGCCTCCTGAGTAGCTAGGATTACAGGCGTGAGCCACCAGCGCCCGGCACAAATATATTTTTTTACAGTGTTGTAGATACAATCAAGGCCATAGACTTACTGGGTAAGTGCTCTACCACTGAATTACACCTCCAACCCTACAATATTGTTTATGTTCTCTTTGAATGCCTTTTCATAGAAAAATTTTTTTTGTTTTTTTTGTTTTTTTGGGTCCGGTCATGGGGCCTGAACTCTGGGCCTGGGCGCTGTCCCTTAGCTCTTCAGCTCAAGGCTAGCGCTCTACCACTTGAGCCACAGCGCCACTTCAGGCTTTTTTTTTTTTGCTTATGTGGTGCTGAGGAATCGAACCCAGGACCTCTGGCATGCAAGGCATGCGCTCTACCACTGAACCACCTTCCCAGCCCCTTCATAGAAAAATTTTGTAATACTGGTTTTCTATTTCTTTTCAAAATTGATGAATAAAGATTGTATGTATTTCTTCTATTTTGATTTGCATATGCACTGTGGGATGGCTAATGCCACTTGTTTAACATGCTCATTACCTCACATACTTACCATTTCTTTGTTCTGAGAACACTAAAGCCTCCTCTCTTACACAATCTAGTGTCACAATATAGTAGGAGATACACTATACACAATAGTAGACTGTATAAATAGAATCACAGTGCACAATAGATCTCTTCAAAGAAGTCTACCTCCTGTCTAACTGATACTTTGTGTCCTCATTTCCAGCCCCTTGTAACTACCATTTTACTCTTTGTTTCTATGAGGTCAGCTTTCTAGACTCCACATTATAAGTGAGCTCATGTTCTACCCATTTTTCTGGGCTTAGCTCATTTCACTTAACATAATGTTAAACATAATGTCCTTTAAGTTCATCTGTGTTGTCTCCAGAAGTCATAGGATTTTTCTTTCTTTCAGGCTGAATAGTATTCCAGTGTGTATACATATATGGATACATACATACACATATAATTTATATTCTTACTAACAATGAAGTTCCCCTTCCCCACCCCCGCATTCTTACCAACATTTATTATCTTTTGTCTTACTGGTACAAGTATGATGTTAGAGCCGTGTGTGGTGTGTGTGTGTGTGTGTGTGTGTGTGTGTGTGTGTGTGTGTGTGTGTGTTTGGGACTTGAACTCAGAGCCCGAGGACTATCCTTTAGCTTTTTGCTCAAGGCTGATGCTCTACCACTTGAGCCACAGCTCTACTTCCAGGCATTTTTTTGTTGGTGGTGTTAATTAGAGATAAGAGTTTCACAGAGTCTCCTGTCTGGGCTGGCTTTGTACCATGATCCTTAGATCTTAGCCTCCTAAGAAGCTAGGATTATAGGAATGAGCCATGGTGGCCAGCCACAGAACCACCATTTATTGAAAACACTGTTCTTTCCACTATATTTTTCTTAGATTCTTGGTTAAAAAAAACAAACCAAAACAAACAAACAAAAAAAAACAAACCAACCAGGGGCTGGGGGTTTAGCCCAGCGGAAGGACGCCCACCTGGCGCACGCAAGGCCCTGGGTTCGGTCCTCAGCCCTGGAAAAAAAAAAAAAAAAAAAAAAACCAAGCAAACCAAAAAAACAGTATGGTACTGGTAGTCAATTTATTTGTAGGATCTGTAGTCTATTTTCTTGGTACATGTACATTTATGACTATACCATTCTGGTTTTTTTTTTTTTTTTTTTTTGTCCAAGAAGTGGGGCCTGAACTCTGGACCTGGGCACTGTCCCTCAGCTCTTCAGCTCAAGGCTAGCACTCTACCACTTGAGCCATAGCACCACTTCCGGCTTTTTTATTTTCTGCTTATGTGATGCTGAGGAATCGAACCCAGGGCCTCATGCATTCAAGGCAAGCGCTCTATCACTGAGCCACCTTCCCAGCCCTACCATTCTGTTTTGATTATTGTAGCTTTGTAGTAGATTTTGAAATCAGGCAGTGTGGTTCCTCTAGCTTTGTTTGCTGATCAAGATTGCTTAGGCTGCTGGGTGCCAGTGGCTCATGCCAGTAATCCTAGCTACTCAGGAATCTGAAGACTGGGGGAAATCACAGTTGAAAACCAGTTGAAGCAGAAAAGTCCATGAGATTCCATCTCTAAAACAGGCAGCAAAAAGCTGGGCTGGAGGTGTGTCTTAAGCGGTGGAGTGCCAGCTGAGTGAGTAGAAGGTCCCGAGTCAACCTCTAGCACTATAACTCTTGCCTAATTAAAAAAGAAAACTGTATTGTCGTATCTTCATTTGATTTAGTTTGTGACAAGTTGTTTTGGTGGCCAAAAAAAATATGAAGAAAATCAAGCCTCATACAAATCAAATGATTGTGAGTATTCTTTCATGCTATTATACCAAAACTTGATAGATCTTAAAATTTTAGTTGGAGAAATTTATATCAGTGATGTTTTAGCACTCAGTTACATTGAAATTTATTCATCTGTCTTCCGCTTGGACTGAATCATTTATACACGCATGATTTGGTACCATCATGAGTTGGTCATGTGGAAAATATTTTGTACACTGAGTTATGCAGCTCTTCTTGGCCCGTTTTATTAAATGATATAAAAAACACTTTTGTTAATACTGTCATCCTTCCTAGCAGAAAAGAGTACATTTTAGGGAGCAGTCAGACTCAGACGAACATTCAAGTTCTCTAAAATTATAATTATACTGAAACTTTTCCATTGATACCAAATATGATCAGCTGGACTGGGAAGGTGGCTCAGTGGTAGAACGCTTGCCTTACATGCATGAGGCCCTGGGTTCAATTCCAGCACCACATAAGCAGAAAAAAAAAAAGCCAGAAGTGGTGCTGTGGCTCAAGTGGTAGAGCACTAGCCTTAAGGTGAAGAGCTGAGGGACAGCGCCCAGGCCCAGAGTTCAGGCCCACGACTGGACCCAAAAACAAAACAAAACAAAAAAACCAAATATGATCAGCTGTTTAACTTAAAGTGGTTAACTTGCTTATTACACTTTTTTTTTTTTTTTGCTAGTCCTGGGGCTTAAACTCAGGGCCTGGGCACTGTCCCTGAGCCTCTCTCTGCTCAAGGCTAGCACTCTACCACTTGAGCCACAGCACCACTTCCAGCTTTTTCTGTGTATGTGGTGCTGAGGAATTGAACCCTGGGCTTCATGCATGCTAGGCAAGCACTCTACCACTAAGCCACCTTCTCAGCCTATTTACACTTTTTTGTGTGTGCGTCAACTCTGTTTTTTGTGTGGGGCGTCAACTCTGGGACTGGGGGCTGTCCCTTACTCAACTCTTCAGCTCAAGGCTAGCGCTCTACCACTTGAGCTACAGCGCCACTTCTTGTTTTCTGGTGGTTTTATTGGAGATAAGAGTCTCACAGACTTTCATGCCTGGGCTGGCTTTGAACTGGTATCCTCAGCTTTCAGCCTCCTGAGTAACTAGGATTATAGGCATGAGCCACTGGCGCCTGGCCTATTACACTTTTTTAAAAAATATAATTTGGGGCTGGGAAGGTGGCTCAGTGGTAGAGCGCTTGCCTTGCATGCCTGAGGCCCTGGGTTCGATTCCCAGCACCACATAAGCAAAAAGAAAAAAGCCGGAAGTGGCGCTGTGGCTCAAGTGGTAGAGGGCTAGCCTTGAACTGAAGAGCTGAGGGACAGC